GGGGCTGCCATGGCTTCCTGCGGCAGCTCTGGGCCTCCTGCTCGGGGCTGGCACCGGGGCACGGACGTAGGTGCAAGGAGGAGGTTGGGGTCTGGCCTCTGCCCGCAAGTCCAGGAGGAAAGGAAGCGGTGCTGGAGGTGTAACCGTGCCCGGTGCCTGGGAGGCTGCCCGCACGGCAGTGCCAGCATCCCCCGGCTGCGGCGGGTGATGGGGTCCCTCCCTCAAGGGGCCCAGCCTGCCACGGTGGCTCGCTTTCCCCTAACTGCTCTGTGGTTATTTACATAGATCGGCGTTGCGTTAGGATGCCACAGGACACCCACGGCTGCCCTTCTCTCCCAAAGGCCTCGTTTCTTACTTGTTTCCCAATTACAACGTGGCACAGCTGGAAAGACCTGAATTCCTAATGCCCAAACCAGGCAGAACCCATCTGGCTGTGGGCAGGGCAGGGAGCTGTTGCCTTTCCCCTTTCTGGGTCCCCTTCTTCGCTAAAAACAAACACGGAGAGGCAAGAGGGATGCCTCCGCCCTGCAAGGGACATTTTGCAAGCCCTGGTGCTGCCCACACGAGAGCCTGCCTGTCCCCAGGGTGGGGACCTCTCCTGGGCACGTCCCCTCACAGAGATGGGGGACAGGGCAGCCGTAGCGGCGCGGGGAGGCAGCAGCTGGGCTGGGGGCTGGAAGGACGATGGCACAGGCTGTGCGGCCCACAGACCCCCTGTTTACGGGGTACGCAGGGTGCTGAGGGGCAGGCTGAGCCGGGGGGGTCAAGGGCCTCTTGCTACTGACCAAAGCTGAGCCCCGATCCCACGTCCCGCAGTCGGCCTCCCCCCGTGCAAGGTGACCAGCCTGATTAGGAACACGTCAACTGGAGCAGCGAGCTGATTACGGCATGAGCACGCATGCCGCTGTAATCCCATTAGCGTTACAAATCCTAAATATAGCAACGCAAATCTATCTTGTCTGCTTCCCCAGCCCCAGCGGGGTGCTTGCCGTGGGGACCGCTCCTTACACACAGCGTCTCGGGGCAGCTCAGGCGATGTCTTGCCTGTGCCAGGGAAGATTCCCGTGCGCAGGGAGAAGCCCGGCTCCGCTCGCTACCCGTGCCAGTGACTGGGGCAGCCCAGCACAGGCTGTGGGAAGGCTCTGCTCTGGCCCTGGGAGCTGCTCAGTGCAGGGAGAGCACAGGGCCCTGGGTCACGAACAGTGGTTCTTAAGCACAGTGTTTCATGGGGTTACACAGGCGGATGGGGAGCAGGCTGAGCTCAAGAGCCACTCGCTGAGCACCGATCTTCGCTGCGTCCTGATGGGGTTGCACAGGCGGATGGGGAGCGTGCGTAGCTCAAGAGCCACTCGCTGAGCACCGATCTTCGCTGCGTCCTTGGGCAGCATCCCTGCAGGGCACCGACGAGCTCCAAACCTGTCTGCTCCCAGACTGCAGGAGGCAGTTTTGGACGATGCCAAAGGCGTTGCCGCCGTCCTCTGGCCCTGTGCCTGCGTCAGCGCTGCCCAGGGCTGGCCAAGGGTGGGATCCCCCGTGCCTGGCTTCCCCCAGCTGAGCAGAGCAAGGACAGCCACCTTGCTCCAAGACCAGGCACCCCTCGCCCCGCCAGCCCGCCTGGGAAAGCATCCCCACCGCTGGATACTCACGCGCCGCACTCCACCTTCAGGGAGCGGATGTTGTCAAAGCCGCACTCCATGATGTTTGGACAGGCTGAAGTGAATTCCATCCTCTTGCCCTGGAAGTTTTCTTGGTCGTATACGGTGATCTGGAACGGAGACCAAGCTGCCAGGTCGGGAACTGCCCAGCAGTGGCCCCAGGCAATTCAGCGCCTGTTCGAGGCAGAGGGTCACGCTCCGTCTGGGAAAGAGCCGGCAGAGGCTGCGC